AAGTAATGCATTTGTTATCACGTCATGGTATGACGAGCGCTCTAAATCAACAAAGTTAATCCGAGGAAAAATAATATGAAACTATTCCCAACTTCTTTCATATTTTAATATGCATGGCAATATTTTTTAATCCTCAAAAAAAAATTAAATTAACTATATTCATATATAGTTTCATTTCTGGATTTTTAATATTTTATACATATAGGATTCTTTACTTTATATTAGGTTGTCAAATATCTCCCTTCCGCCTTTTTGTATTATAAACCAAGAGCAAAAAAGCGGAAGGGAGATATTTGACAACCTAATATTAATCAAAATACCATAAGCAGTATTTATGTATAAATTTCCATGCAAAATGTCAAAAAATCAATTTCTGAAAATGCTGCTGTAACCTTTCTATATTTATTGACTAGAATTTTTTTAAATTACAGTCTGCCACACCTAATTCAATAATTCTTTTGACTTTTTATTATATGGATTTTTGAATGGATGGCAACCCAGTGGTTTTCCAATTCAATTATGACTAATCAAGTATACTCGAAGTATTTGTTGACATTTTTATTAAATATATGCAACTATACCCACAAGAGGCGATTTTCACTTGAGGCTATATTTGAGATCTATAACCTCAAGTGGAAATTTGGCATCAAAGTTTGTCAGGAAATGACGGTTAGATTTAGGTGAAGTATGAAACGCATAAATAAACAATGATACTATTTCATTACAATCAGCCTTGTAAAAAATAGTTCAAATTAATTTGAATAAAAAACTTTACTTTTAATTTTTATAAAGACAAGTAAGTACCTACTTATTTACCAATTTTTCTAATTTTCTGGAATGAAATGAGTTCTAGCACCTACATAAAATATTTATTCAAAAGTGCAAATTGTAAATCTAAAAATTAAAATAAATTTATATATATTCAAAAAATCGAGTTAAATTTTGTTTGTTAGAAGTGCATAAAACTCAATAATTTTAATATATTTACTTTTAATTAAAAGAAGGACATATATACTTACTCGAACAGCCATGAAGTTAAATTAGAAAGAGTACTTCATAAACTGAACTTGTATAAAATAAGAATAATAGTTTCATATTTATAAGAATTTTATTTTTTTATATCAAAATGAACTATTTTAAACATTTATATGCAATAAATATTACGAATAGAATGAGCACACTTTACTCTAATAAATCTATCTAAATGGTACAAATAGAAAGAGCAATAATTTGTTATAAACATTTTTGACGCCAAATAATGGAAGGTTTAGATTTATCCTTAGAATATTATGAACTGATTATTAAATTAAATAACTAAAATTTCTTTAATTAAAAATGCTTTAATTAAAATGCCAGATAAGAGCTATTTTAACTTAGAAGCATATTTAAATTTACATTTCTAAGTGAAAATTGATGTCATTACTGCTTGACATCAGGCTGTTCGAGACAGGTATCAAATCAGAAACCTGCCAAGTGAAAAGCCAAAGCTAAGCTAACCCCTAAGCCACGGAGAATCTCAAATATTTAAGGTGGAAAATACGTTTACATAATGAAAAACAAAATTATTCTCACCAATACTCCAAATTCATTAATTGAAATTAATTAGAACATAATTCCGTATAATTATGATCGTATAATTTTTTGCTACGTATGCATTTCTGTAGGTAAAACAATTTTAAAAAGCAATGTAAATATTTTTATAACGTCTTGTATTGCATTTTATGCATTGCTAAGTTCCGAGAACACAATTTCTGCCTAATATGATTTTTGTAAAATGAATAAATCGTCACACAATTAAATTGAATTAAATGAATATCATCATATTAAATATCAAAATAATAAGGCCGGACCGTTTCATAGTAATTAATTGTTAAAACTTTTTTTCACGATTTTGATAAAGCTTTGTAAAATTAATCACGGAAAGTAGTTTAATTATTAAAATTCATAAAAGTTTCAAAATTATATTGTCACGATTTTAAATTTTAACATCTCACTTGTTATTGATTTTACCATTATATACAATATCGAATTATTATTCTTTATTTGCAAAAGGGATGTAGCATTTTTATTTAAGTTTTAATATTATTATGTGACTAAAAGCTTCAAAACGATTAATGTAATAAAATAGTTTAAATTTACAAAAGCTTTTAATACGAATCGTAGCATTTTATGGGTTGATTTCCAAAGCGCTTAACAATAAATTATTTTAATGAAGTATTTACCAGATGAATATTTTAATAAATTACTACACAGTAACTGATAAATATAAGTGTAAATTATTTTACAAAATTGTAAATTTTGAAATATTGTTGAAAATCATTATAATGAACTAAAGCAACAAACAAATGCGACTACTGTTTATATCAACAATAGATAATCATTATATTATAATTGAATATCTGTTGATTAAAATCATACGTCCACGCATTACCATGAATCATATTATATTAAATATCAGTTGGCATCACTTCAGAATCTTATCATATTAACCTCGCATAGCTTCAAACTATTAATCGGCATTAGTGATAAAAACACCTCATACGTGATTCGCGATGCAAGTAACATATCGATAAAAGTAACATAGAGCAAACAATAATTCAAGATGAGTAATGATCGGCAACACGTCAGAATGTAGATTGAATTCGTGATATCAATAGCTAACTTTAGTCAGCAAATCCATATAAGAATCATATGCTTCGACTACATAAATTATAATTAATTTGTTTCGGACTTATAGATGCTATAATGATCTGTATTATTAAGTCATGCGCAATGTGTATCCAATGTAACAAATGATGTGGCACAAAAGGGCATGTGAACTTATGCAGCTTAATGCGAACGATTCTAGCAATAGATTTGTTTTTAGAATCCTTAAATTACATTATGTGATGTCACCAGCTTGGAAAGAAGTCTGATGTTCGTTACTAAGAAGAATAAAAGCACATGTCAAGAAAAAGTTAGACAAAGTCGAAACAAAAGCTCAAAAGCCCAAAAGCCCAAGTGAGATAGTGCGTAAATCAGAAGTTGACGTAAATTGATGAGAAACTGCTATATTGATAGTAAGGTGATGCAATTTTAGATAAATAAATTAATTAGATACTGCAAAGAAGCAGCTATTTAGATATCTCATGAAACTGCAGGAATTGATTTTGAAAATATCAAGCAAAACACATATTTGCCATAAGTGCAAAGCTAATAAAATTAATACGAAATTAAAGACGTCCAATCACTGGATCGGCATTCGCTAAAAATTCGCTAATGTTCCAAAATTGAATTAAAAATACTGAAACATTTTATTGAATAGCGGTTATTATACTAAAAATACGTGAATATTCTTTAGCTATGCATCAAAATTTATATTTAATCCGAATACTGCATGGAAAACTATAAATTGTGGACACTAAACCAATGTGTAAAGCATAGAATTTCCATTTTCTTATTACAACAGTATTAAAAACTATTACTTCTATACTATATATTAAGAAAACTGGTATTAGGACAATTTACCGTGAAAATTCTTGTTCAATACTATCGTACAATTCATACCTGAACGTCCAATCACTGGATTGGCATTCGATTTAGACATTTTAAGTACTGCCAAAAATTTGATGATGTTCCATGATGGAATAGGCGCAGATATTAAAAAAATATATATACTATCGTACAATGCACTCCGAAAAATAGTACTAAATTTCATAAATACTTGAAGTAGAAGCAACACTGGCTACTTCTACTATTGTCAAACTATTTGTCATATGTAATTTAATTATATTATCTTTAGATTTACTAGATGTCGACTGAAGACAGTTGTGAATTACATGGTAAAATAAAAAAAATTCCTAAATACAAAATCGATTGTTATTGCCACGTCTGTTACAATATATCGATCCCTGCATCTCTTTGTTGCAGAGAAATGATACCATGACATTTTATTAGTGTCGTAAAACAATAATAAATTTGATTTAATAGTTTCTTCAAAGAGCCGTGAAGCATGTTGAAATTTATTTGAGAAATATCAATATTGGATTTTAATTGATTGTCGGGATTACTGTTTGGCTTTGATTGCAATTCCATAAATATAATTATACTTTTAGGTCAAGTTAGAAAAAAATTATGTAATGCATTTATACATTATACAAAATGAAGTACTATTGGATATTGCAACCAATGGGAGACCAAGCAAGCCAACAAAATGTTGAAATAAATCGTCTTCCGGTCACTCGATTATGAAAATATTCGGAAATATATTTTTACTACGAAGAGAGTAGACTAAACTTCCTCAGTGCGCGCATTCTGACACACGACCCAGTTCCCATATAAAATTAAATTTGTACCCAACTATCAATATTAATATCGTCGGCGATCGCATATAAACCCGGAATGTTCACGCATGTGATGTGATATCGATGCGCGGCAAAGGAAGACACGATGCAGGTAAAACCTGTTGCACTGTTTCCGAAATTGGAGATAACGAAAAGTAGAATAATATTTACATATTTGAAATTTGCATAAATAAACACGAACCACAGACGATTTGTATGTATCTTTCTCCTGGACTGAGCTGATTAGGACTGTTCTGATTATGTAAATATGTTCATATTTCAATCGTTATTTTCATTTTATTTATGAGATGTCTGCGGTTTAGAATTGTATGTCTCGTTACTTTAATGAAGTTCATAATAATATAAAGCATGGCAATATTTCATTCATGAATAAGTAAAATAATTAACGAGATTCATACAAACAAGTTTTGAAATTAAAGTAATTGACAATATAAATAAATTGATGCAAATTAATTTCCGTTCTATTGCTCGTTGTCAATTAATTAATATGGAATGATGCGTAATTGCCATTAGGCCTTTTAATGTTCCTTATTGTTAATTAATTAATATGGAATTATGCGACCATTTGACATAACATCAGCGTTTCAAAAGAAACAAGAAGTTTTTTAAAATAAATTCTGAAAATATATTGGCAATATATTTTATATATTAAATTACCTTCTGAATAACCAAAGGAGTGCCGAAATCTTTGCCACCCTGGAGTCTGAATCCCCACGGACAAGCATCTCCTCGATTTAATCGAACTGATATTAATTGTGCCATCTGAAATAAATAAAAAAAAAATAAAATTAAATAAAGAAAAATTGTGGCGGAATTAGCTCATGTGTAGCGTTTCCGACTCACGCGCCGAAGGTTCGAAGTTCGAATCCCCGGCATAATATAGAAATTCTGTTAAAAAATAGTTTGAAATAAAAGTTAAAAAATAGTTTGAAATAATGTTAAAAATAGTTTGAAATAGTATTAAAAATAGTTTAACGTATATAAAAAGGTTTGAGAATAAAAATTAAATTGAATAGAAGTAATGAAGATGTGAGAAGATAGAAGATATAATGATAGATAATAAAAGAAGAAAAAAGAAGAATGATGTTATGTTGATGAGTACATAGAATAGGATAGGATATATAAAATAGGAAGAAGAATAGGATTTATATAAGAAATTGAAATATTGTAATGAAATTAAAATATGTTGTAGGTGGCTAAATGCTCGAGCAAGCGAGGCCAATAAAAATAAAAATAAAAAAAAAAAAATAATAATAAAGAAAAATGTTTGAAAATAATCACAATTGTTTTAAAAATATTTAAGGGCAAGATGAAAATCAAAACTTAAACTATATATATGTATATGAACAAAAATCAAATGATGTGTTTAAACTTCTACATATACTTAAACCAGCTTAAAATAAAAAGCATAAAACAATTAATTAAATAAACACAATTTCTTGTATTTTTACAGAAATCGATAATATACTCTCAATTTATCAATTAGTTTTTCATTTCCCTGTTACATTGCGTAAAATTTCACAACCATGAAAACGTTTTTGCAAGAAAATATATTCCATCCTATCTTTCGATAAATCGCATTTGAACAAACGTGACAACAACGAATGAATATATACTATCATTAAAAAGGCTTACTACTGGGTAACCTTCTAGATCTAATGTTTAATATTTCATATATCATCAAAACTACTGAATGTCTTCCTTTTTGTAAAGACAGATTGTAATTCAATAAAGAGAATAAAAAAAATATACTATCATTAAAAAATGTATAAAATATAATTAAATTCTGATACGGATTTCACCTTAAAACCAACCTTATTATTTGGTAATTAGAGGTATTCAAACTTACACCTTAGCATTTAAAAGATACTTTTGTTCCACTAGTGGCCCGAGCACAAGACGACTGCACCCTAAAATTTATATCATTGCAAAAATCTGATCTTGCGGCCATAACTAATGTACGTCGCATTCCTTTGCATTAGCATTTTTATAATGATTTTAGTTTGTTCCCAACAATTCTACCTGTTTATCGAAAGATATATGAATATCCTCGGCCGGAAATAAATTATGAAATTCCGACATAGGCTAGTGTTGCCATGTATTTTTCAGTGGTGTCACATCGGACACAGCAGAGTTGCAAAATTTTTTAAAAATACGTACTTTTTTATTTCACTATATAATAATCACAAGATAACTTGCAAATTTAAAAAAATATAGACAATAAGTGGGAGTTACCAATATTACTTATATTTTAAATAAGAAAATTTCAATTGAGTAAAAGTGTCCTGTACAAAAAATGAATATGAAATTAAATTTCTTTAAAGAATCAGAGTTTCGGAGGATGTATTTTTTTACCTTTTTGCAAAGTTAACAGCCAACAGATTTTGAGCTAGTTTAAAATTAAAAGAGCAATGGAAGCGGCTGTGAAATATGTGCAAGCTTACGAATATGTTTTTGGAAAGTTATTATTATCAGACGTAATGATAATTTTGTGAAACTGATAACTTTAGAACGTGGATATATTAATTTATTAATCTTAATATTTGAATCGTGATCTCAAAAAAAAAATCAAATTTAATCTTTTTTTCACTCAAATTCTAAAAAATTGGGCTGATTGAATTTTTTTTAAATGACTAAATATTGTAAAAATAGTTGTTTTATATGAAAATGTACATATTCTTTTATTCTGTTATATCCATATAATTTACATAAAATTATTTTGTACTGAAAAATTGATATTTTAAGTTCAAAAAGCCCATTTTTCTAGAACTTGAGTGAAAAAAAACTCTTCGAATCTTAAATAAATAAATTGTAACCTTCAAAAATTAAATTGAGATTAATCTTGAATTTCAGTCAAATTCTAAAAAATGGCGATTTAAAAATACGAAATATTGTAAAAAAATTATGTAAAAATATACGCAAACCATATCAAGAAAAATACAACAAAAAAATTCCAGGTGATGTATCTATATATTTTTATAAACATTTTTTCACAATATTTGCTAAGTTGTTTGTAAAATGTTTCAATTGTACAATTTGTAGAATTACCGGTATGATGACACACATACAGTGGCAAAACATAAAAAATAATTAATTCAAATATCGATTGTTTGTTATTTCTATAATTTGTCTGAAAAAAATAAGTTTCAGCGACCAACCAAAAAATCTAAAGTATATAAAAATTTAATTAGAAGTATTTGTTTCAATTCAAGCTTTTCTATGTTTTTTACTCTAAATTTCTGTTGCACTTTTTTTCTATACTGCCACTGTGGAGTCTTACAAAACTACGTGTGTATATTCACAGGACGCGTGCTGGTTGTTCGCAAGGGCTAAAAGTGTGCCATTGCACAAGTCAACAAAATGCATATTGAATTATTGTGTAAGGCACGCACAAATAGAACAAATGCTTCACCGTCGCCGGCTTGACTAATTTATTCTCGAAGGAGCAAATGTTTATATGCAATATAGATGCAAATACGTATATAGTTTGCAGAATCTTACAAGAAGAAAACGAATATGTTCTATATTTAATGACATCTTATTTTGGTTTTGCATCTCGGGGAATAAGCAGAGTTCACGCATAGATGGTTAATTTTTAGTAAAACTTTAAATTATATGCCAAATACAACATCACGTTTTCATAGTGTATGAAAATATTTTGACTAACTAATAACTAATTGATAAAATTATTCCACACTCATTATTATTGATATACTGCTTTTTATTACTATTATATTATATTTTTACAATTTAGTTTTCTGAACAAGTTGGCATACCTTAGAAAAAATTGATATATGTCGACGATTTCGGAAAGACGAATTAACCGATTTGAATGATTCCAAAAACATTCGATTGCTATTGATAAGCAGACGTGCTGATTAGTTTTTGACAAAGGTAGGTCTAACCGTTTCGAAGATACGGGGCAAAAGTGCTAAAAATGATTCAGTTTTAGAGTACGAAAGATACGGGAAAAAAATAAAATGAATTTATATTAATGTAATTTATATATTTAAAAAAATATGTTATAAAGCAAATAAGGTATATTTGTACAATTAACGTTCAAGCACTGCTAAAAATGTAATTATATATTATAAATGATCAGGAGGAAAATTAAATATTTCATTGTAAATAACAAATGATATCATAAACAGATATTTTATCTGCTACTAAATAAATAAAATCTTACAATTAGAGTGAAACATGAATCAGAGCAACCGCCCAGATATTAAATAAGTGCTAATTGTGCATTCAATGAGTTAAAGTATTTCAACATTGAAAGTCGAAATTCCATACAAAATTTTGAGAAAGTAAATTTTTATTTCTATTAGTTAAATTGTAATTATCATTGAAATTGTTTTTTGCGAAATGTTAGAGCAAATACATATAGATCTACTCACTCATTCAAATTTTTCTTAAAAATATCTCATCTCATTCTTCATTGGTCACACAAATTAACACTCATTTTAATGTTTGTCTTGCTCGTCATTTTTTCATAATATTGACCATTGATTTATTTGTTCAGTAAATTTTTAAATAGCGATTTTCTAACGAACTGAAATCAGTTCTTTGCAAATTTTGTCAATAAACAAGCAATGACTCATATTATTGGAAATTGCGGTTATCGCATTCATACTCATCAATCATCATTTTCGAGTGGGATTGGCGGATGATAATTTACTTGTTATCTTATATCACAAGAAAAATGTTTGGAATTTTACAAAAAATTAAGATAATATAACTTGAGAGTATAACATCCGATAATACGCGTTGTATACATTGGTGAAGCAGAAATAGAAGATTACTGGTTCTTTGCATATTTTTGCAATTATTTGTTGAATATATGCTTCACAGTTTTGGTTATTTAGTATTTAATTACACATCTTTGACTAATACTAAAATACCGCAGAGTCAAAAAAAAAATTAAAAGAATAATTCAAATTTACACAATTCTTAACCTTTGCAATAATATTTTATATTAAACTTTATTTATATTATATATATTATTTTTTTATTTTATATATCAAAATCAAGCTTTGGTCCATTAAACAAGTTATCTTTTATTGCAAACCTTAATGTGTTATTAAATGGCACACTGGCGCGAGGTATTTCATAATTTTAAATTTATTGATATGTGCATTGTATAAAGTTGTCGGCTCTTGAAAGGCATTTCAAAGCCATAAACTACCCATTTTATTAAAGCCAAAAAGATAAGAAAAAAAATAAAATGAATTTATACTAATGTAATTTATATATACAAAAATATGTGAAAGCATTTAAGGTATATTTGCTGAAGATTATAGTGAAGTAACTAAATTAATTTCTTAAGAGATTAAGCATATCACATTATTTGTAGACATCGAACACCATGCAAATGATACCCAGTGTGTTCAACGTTCCATTAACAAAATGTAACAAATACATCACCGATTTAACTAATTTCTTTCTAATTATATAACTTAATCCGTGTTCAAAAAATATTTCTCTTGGCTCATATATAATAGTTAATCCCTGGGTCGATCGAATAGCAGTGGCCAGCGCAGTGCAAAGTTTTAGCGTCGGCCCGGAGTCAGCCAGAGTCTGGGACGGAAATAGATCGAACGTCGAAGTCGCCCTGTCCGCGCGCCAGATCAAAACACGCGGAAAGGAACGTGGAAACACATTTTAATGAATTAAAAAAATAATTTTGAAGAAAAGCCTTTCAAAGTTTATTTGAAAAATAATTCTAAACTAGTGGGATGCATGGCATCGTGCCTTAAGGCAAGTTGCTGGAACTTCCCGTACCGTAATTAAAAATCTTGGTGCGGAACCAAGAACACAAAATGTTTACACATTATTAAAATTTCTATAAAGTATCTGATTATTTGATGTACATATGTCCAATAAACATTTTTGACATTTTTATACTTATTTTTATTGAGAGTACATAACCGCTGGATCTGCCTTCTTCAGTTCTTCATCTTGTCAATACAAGTAAAATGTTTTTCGAATTATTAAAATCGGACGCTCCGTTTTCTTGAAAACTGAGTTACCGTTTTTGGCACTTTTTGCCCCGTATCTTCGGAACGGCTAGACCTGCCTTCGCCAAAAACTAATCAGCACGTCTCCTTATCAATACGAATCGAATGTTTTTTTAATTATTCAAATCGGTTGATCGGTGTTCTCGAAATCGTTGACAAAAATTTGTATCCGCACACACACATCAATTTTTTCTAAGGTATGCCATATTATTCAGAAAGTTTTGGAACGTAAAGATATATAAAAAATTTCATTTTCGATTTTTCTGCGATTACTATAACTTACCCTAGGGGAAATTAAATATTTATTATGACTTTACAAGAATCACAAAATTATGAAAAGCAATGATTTTGTTTTCTAAACCAAAATCACATGATTGTAGTTGTACTTGATCTTACAGAAACTTGTTGTAAGTAGCATTTTGTCTTAGGGTAAGTTGATGATCTTTACGGTACGTATACATAATCAACTTAATTAATTAAAAAGAATTTTAGCTATTTAGGTAAAAAGTTCAACTGTTATTTAGAAAATAAAATTTTCGCTTTCATTGCTAATCAATGCGATTTCCAATTGATGTCTTTCAAATATACTTATCTAAATTATTATCATAACAATATCTAAGTAATTGTATAATTTAAATTAATTAATTTAACACATTTCATTTCATCTATTTCGTATGCTGCATCATTTCATCTATTTCGTCAACTGTAATCAGTATCTACCTACGAAGCACGGTATGTATATAATTGTTCGGCATAGACTAGATTCTGATAAGAATAACTTAAAAGCACAGCAGAAACTTTGATGAATTTTTACAATTTAACCACTTATGGACCTATAATATTGTAGTAAGTTACTTCGGACTACAAAATCTATCGTTACACAAAATTTCATCAAAAACGTACACAAAAATTTCAACATTTAATGACACAGAAACGGCCTGGTCCATCTTTACCAAAAATTAATCAACGCGATTCCCAAGCAATATCTTTTGAATTTCGAATATTTAAAATTTTTATACTTTTCTGCTAATTACAAAGAAAGGATTTGGCCGATTCTCGCAAAAAACTGACCGACAATAGCCTTTATTGAGTTCCACAAATGGCTTTTAAATTTTTGAAATGGACCCAGTTTCCCAGTGTTTTCGAGATTACGTCGACAAAAGGTCAAAAATCGGTTCACATACACATTATATTCCAAATTTGGTCTCATTTGATTCAAAATGACTTAAAACGCGATAAAATATAAAATTAGCAAATCGGATTTTTTGCGAAAAAAGACTTTACCATCGGATAAAGTACATGCATCACAAAATTTAGGAAGGAAGTGATTTATCTCAACCGATCAACAACAACAAAAATAAGGGTAGGTACGCTTAATTTCCTAAAAGCTCTTACAAGGTTATCAAAGTACGACATTTACTACTTACTTCCTTTACTTATTACTATTACTACTACAAATTTTACAAGAATGTTATATTTTACAATAACATCTGATTAGGTTTTAGAAAAATATTTATATAAACCAAGTTGATTTATAACAGATAATGAACAAAATTTTTAAAAAAATCTATTATTTTTAATAAAATTGTGAATTTTATTTTTATTATAATTTTGTATGAAAGTTGCTAATATATAAATTGCATCCAATTTATCGTTGAGTAATTCGAAACCCTGTTTGCACACATTTCAAGACGCAAATGCGTGTTGATGGCGTCAAAACAATTTGAAACATATATATTTGTCAAAAGGTGTGACTCATATAATGTAATTAATTATATAGAAAAAAATGATCTAAATAATTATACATAATTTTTATTTTCAGTCATTCGATAATAATTTGATAATGTAAAATAAATTTTAATTATGCTATATTTACCACAACACTGTGAAGAGCAAGATCACTGAATCTTGGATTTTATTCTCTTGTATATTCTGAACAATTGATTTTATATCATATGCAGATAGATAATAAATCGAATAAATAAACAAATATACTGTATTCCAGATCACATGATTTATGATTAATCAAATTTTAATGTATCGACTAAAAATATACAAATTTGTTCTAGTTTGGTATAAATTGCTAATAAACACACAACGTAAAATAAACGCAAATTAAAATATAAACTATGTAATAACATGGTCTCTTGCAGGATCTATTATCTCTTTTAATATTTTTATTTTATTTTTTATTTAAGGAATATTTATATTTAATTTGCCTATATAATTCACATGTGTACAAAATTAATTTAAACATCTATCTACGTAAAATAAAAGGCATTCATTCCGTTAGATAAATGTTGATCTTGTAAATTATCGTATGCAATCATTCTATTAATATACTCGGTGATGCACGTTTTAATGGATATCGGTTTTATTATTAATCGATCATAAACTTTGAAATCATTATACAGAATAAAAGAATTTTTTAATAAATTTATTTAATATGTTAATGTAATATTAAATGAGGTATTTATATCTGTATTACATTTATTAGATCACTTATTAAACTAATAGCCATATACAATTTTTATTTATAATTAATTTAATTATATTGCTCACAAAACAATTTATTATTTAAAATAATTTGAAAAAGCTTTAAATGTAACATTTGGCTTAAAAGCTATCGGCTCAATAAAGGAGTAATATATATTAATGAATTTTATGGCATACTGAGAGAAGATCAAAATTGTAAAAAAAATATTATTTAGTGTAAGCATTATTTTGTTCATTGTTTATTCAAAAATAACAATCGGAATACATAGCGTTCTAAAAGTTGTTGCGGAAAAATTGTAAACTTTATTTAATAATATTTAATATTATAACGTATAATATTAGTGTTATACTTATAATTAAAAATCTGAACAGAATTGGACAATATGAACCATTTTTATACATGTCGTTATTATGGTGAAAAATAGCAAATGTTAGTTGGTAGTTGAGCTGTATCAAAAGCATAAGTATAAGTTATGTATTTTTATACATATGAAAATTTATAAAAAAAAATAAAATTTGGCCGAAAAAATAAAAAAAAAACTCTTCGGAGTGGTCAACCCCTACCACTTGGTTTCAATAAAAATGTGCGAAAACTTGTCCGGGATATACCTAACAATTTCCCAAATTTTCACTGCTATTAAAGTTTTTGAATAAATAAAAAGCACACAGACAGAAAACCTACATCCATTTATACATACATAGTACATAGATGCATTACATTAAAATTATAAAATATATATACATTATAATGATTAAAATCAATTAATTAATTGTTTTGTAATTAATTGCAATTTTCAGTTATTAAAATCTCTAGTCGATTATACATTCCTAAAATATTTTAAATATTTAATGATTTTTCTGAGTTCGATTTAATTACTAATTGTATAATTAATTTTTAATAAAATTCAATTAATTGCTTTATTAATAAATATATAACTGCAATGAAATAACTTAAATTATTTGTTGTTTATAAAATTAGTGTATAAATTTAATTAATAATATCATCTAATATTGTTGATTATATTTGATGCATATCTCAATGTTCAAGTTTTCCATTTCCTATTTGAAATATTTTCACAAATACTGCTATATTTTATAGATGTATTTGAAATAGATTTTCCAATATATTTCTATTCTATAACTTATAAATTAATATTCTATATTTCAATATTTTATAATTAATATTCTTATTAATTATTCATCTATAATATAGCTTATTAATTAAAATTATTTCATTAAAAATATTTTTTAAACTTTGTAAAAAACTTTTTAAGATTTTGTTAAATATGCTGAATGATGACACACATACAGTGCCAAAACGTACAGAATAAAGAGTTTAATTATTTATTGTTTTTTTTTATTTTCGGCTAGAAATAAACATTTCAAGAAAATAACTTATTATAAGTAATTAAAATAATCAGAGTATTTATATCAGCAATAAATTCTGCATTGATTCATAACTGTCTATCTAAGCACTTTCATAATTAATTAGTTTGTATTTTAACTGAAAATGAAATTATTTCCGTTGCAGGAAAGAAAAATGAGAATGGTCAATAGGAAACGGATGTGGTATAAGTTTACTATGAAATATGATTAAATGCATTTATAACGAAATTGAAATTTATAATAAAAATAAAAAATTATTTCATTACAAATTAGTTTATTTTATTATCTTGAAGATTGGTCTTATTTACTGCATATTTTTGCGGTGCGAATTTTTATTTGATTTTTTACCTTTTAAAAGGATGTATAGAAAGTATATTACGATAAAACGATATAATTAAAAAATTAATATTTACAAATTTAAGGGTTGCATTATGAAACTGTTAATAAAATACTGAGAATAATTGTTTATGTTTGTGCAAATTTTCGCATAGAAACGGCCAATGTATGCATTTTCATATAAAATCGTTCATAAATTGGGGTTGTTTCAGAAACTTTCTCACTATAACTAAAGAAAGCCATCTAAAAATGATGGGTTTAATTTTGGTAACTAAAGTAATTAAAAATTTGCAAATAGATATAAATAGGTAAATATTATCACTTACATCACCAATTTATTTCTGCGACCCGCACGGCAACACAACAATTAAAAAAACCAACAGACACTATTTTGAGTTCAAAATTCACCAGAGTTTTTAAGCAAACTTCCGTAACGAACACGTAACAAATATTTTCGCCAAAATGCAAACTTAAAAATTTCGATGTAAAACGTCTTAATATCAAAAATGTTCACCAGGGATATTTTTAGATTGAAAAGTAATTCGATATTTGTATGACGTAATTTTTTAAAAACAATATTTCGCTCTGACCATTATTACTCGTTGAGCGCTAGCACTCGAATGCGTTGTAGTCGAAACCCGTGTGTTTTGGTTACAAGAATAACTTTGGCTTAGGTAACAGTTGGAACGAGCCGGCGGGTGGATATGGATAGTATATATAAAACTTCTCTAGCGGATTTGTGTGCCGCCGATCTTATTCTTAAGCCTTCCTTCTTTTCAAACGCGAGCTATCTAGATTTATAAATAATACCCATTTTGAAAATGCTAAAATTTTCACAACACACGCGTCTTCAAATGCGCCTGAGTTACACATGTTTATCTGTCACTTTATCGCAATCAAAACTCCAGTGGTACCAACAATACATACAAGTTTAATTCGCTTCCTAACTACGCTCGTATGTCGAATCGCTCGTATCTCGAAGTAATTTTTCCTATACAAACACATTGAAATCCTATTAAATAAATAAGTTCATTATTTAATTAATTATTGTTTTTTCCTGTCTATTCATGACACTGCCGAAATAATTTAGACATGTTTTGTTGAACAACTCTCATGCTAAAACTGCTGCAAATTTTTCGGGTTGATTTTTATCCACAAACTTTCATATCTAAGAAAGCTGCTTATAAATTATTCTAAGGATTTTTACCTTCTACAATTGTTTTACCTCTTTCTTTACTATATATTATCTACATATCAAAATAATTCACTATCATAAAACATCCAATATATTTCCATGGTAAGAAAATGTTAGGAAACTTTTCATGTTTTCATTATGCCATTAACTTTTTTCTAGAAAACATCTCTAGAAGCAACAATTCGCACGCATTCCGAAACACTTGTAAGTCTGGATACCACTGTATTATGCTTTAAAAGCTGTATTTGAGCACTAACCAATCTATTGATTGTCTTACTATCTTAGATATAATTCATTTCTATTACTGAACTCTGTTAAATTATTGATGTTATTGTATCAAATTATAACTACATTTTACAATACACAGAAAAAGAAATTTACAGTAATAAATATATTATATTTATTTAAAATAATTATTTTTAACAGTACATTTTCAATCAAACTCAAATTATCCATTAATGTAATTAGAATTATCTATTACAATACACAGATGAACAAATATATAGTAAAAAGATATTGACATATTTTTAATATTATATTACTTTTTAAGAATAATTATGTATGAACTAAACACAGTTTTGTGGTATTAAGCAGTATGAATAGATCTCAACAATCTACAGACATCCACTACTTATGACTTTATTATTTTAGTATTCAAATACAAATTTTAGAAATTTGATATTCAATTCAAAAAAAAAAATTATATATTTAATACTAATTGATAAATATTAACATGAATTGTTAAACGTTCAATATAAAATAAAAAATACACAATAAAAACTACTTTTGAAATATAAAACTCATTTCAGAAATCCAATTATAATTCTAATTCAAATAAAATAATTTCAACTATAAAAAATTAATTTAATTAATCAATGAATTATCTAATGACTTATCAACTAATTAAATGAATATTTTTATGCATATTCAAATTAATGATCCCCAAATTCCAAAATGGAAAAAATATCATAATTTAAATGCATTAATGCTTAAAATTGAATAAAATATATATACAATCACCCCCAATAATATATTAAATATTTACAATTCAGACTTGTACAATAAAATCTTAAATACATTTTACCATTAAATAGTATTTAGTTTCCTAAACACGCTCTCAAAACTGTAATAAAGTATGAAATTGAGGCGCATTTATATACTTAGTTACGTCGATTACACCTGAGATAAAATAAACTCAAAACATTATAAACTAATAAGCAAAAAAAATAATTATCCAATGATATCAGTAAGCGATAAAATAAGTAAAAATACAATAGTTTTAAATAATATATTTTAAACAAAACAGTTTAAGTTATTGATTTCAAATATTGAAATAAATATAAAAAAAATCTTCTGAAACTTATAATCATACAAATGTGAAAAAAGCATCGATCAATCGAATCAAAAAGTATCGATAAGAAAAATACTAGTTTTATATTGTTATGCACAAACTACTTTCGCATTTTACTTGAATCTATAAACTAGTAAAAAAAACTTAAATTAAGAAATATGTGTTAAAGCTTATTCTACAGTTTTTCTTCAAACCTTAAAAATTTATCCATGTTTACCATAAATATGACTAATTCAATTTATGCCAAATCTAGTCAAACTAAATCTATAGAATATGAAATTATTCAAGAAATAATACTTAAAAAATTATAGTTTTTTATAAAATAAAGTTTGCCATATAATTATTCACTACGTAGTCATAAATATTTCACTAAATCTTAAAAATATTGTCTTACACTAGAGTATATCAATTTTCATTAATAAATATATTTAAAATAGTTAAAATAAGAGTCCTGGCTGTAAATCTAGTTCCTGACTAGTGCTAAGACCAAAAAAAATTGAAAACTGAAAATACTCAGTTTTTATCCATTTTTATGTCTCCGCGATCAAGTAGGTTTAATTACTTGTAGTGATATTATAAAAAATAATAGTATCTAATTAATTATATAAATTGTTATTATATCAATTATTTTATAAAGAGTTAATAGACAAAAGACACAAAAAAAACATTTTCAAAAAAAAACGACAAAGAAATCTTTTCAATTTCAATAGTTTGAATGTGTAATAATCTTTCAATATTCTTTGTAAAATGTCTTCACTATTAATAGACTATTTGTAGAGAAATCATTTAAATAATTACAATTTTTAATTAACTTTTAATCGTCAGATCCCAAAATCATTAAAATGGCATAAAAAGAATTGTTGTAAAATTAATTATGTTTCTAATTTGTAAAATTTAAAAGCAAAGCTTTTTGTATATAAATAAATAGATTCGTTATCTTATGTACAACTTAAAATCATATAAAAATAGATCATGAGATAAAATATGCAAGCAAAACTGCCTTCTTACTTATTCCACAACCATGACATCTGAATCTGTGGACGGTGTGCGACTTACGTCTTGCGGCCTTCCGGCATCAACAATAGGTTGTTCCGTTCTCCTCATAGACTGAGCAATAACACTTAAAGGTATGTCATCCTCCTCCGAGTCACTTGCGGTTAAATCCACAACAAATGGTTCAGGATCAGCAGATGAAGATGGTGGAGTGTCTGCTATGCATTCAACAATGTCATTTTTCTCAATGTTTGCATCTGCATAAAAAACAAAACTTAATTTTTATGTTAAATTTTATGTTTCATATTTATAATTATGTACCTGAGATCCATTATTAATTTTTTCATTTGGAACAAAACAACCAAAATTTAGTTGGTCTGAGTTTAGAAGTGTGAATTACTGAAAACTTTACTTCTGCATATAACATTTACAACAACTAGTTAAATAAAAAATATTTATAGGTACAATAAACAAACAAATTAAAATATAAAACTTTATAAATTTATTCTAAATATTAATAGTTACATTGTGTTTAACTTATATCAGACTAGATTTTTTTTTAAATTAACTATTGAATTATTCTAATGCAATCATACTTAATATTCATTATATATTCATTGCCAAATCTGTAAAAAATACTAAACAAAAATAACAAAAAAAAACACAAAGAAAAAATGTGAGAAATAATACAAGCATCACCTACTATATTGCGTTTTCATTAACTTGATAATTTGTTTTTTTTTTTCAGTTTTATTTGTGTTATTTTTTATTATACAACAAATCAAATTATTAGAAATTATATTCAAAATCATTCAAAAGCAAAATAAAATAGCTTAGCTTCTATAATAACAAGCACAAAATGATAAAAAAAAAACTAGCATAAAAGCTTGCTTAAAAAAAGAATTATTTAAAGTTTGTTATATCACTAAATGTTTATATTACTAATGCTATTTGATTTCTATATGAATTGCGTGGTTATGCAAATAAAAGCCAAAAAGACGAAAACGTCAATTTGTTGGACTGCCAAACTCACCCGTATCATCCAATATTACTATGTCAGCATCATTAGAGTTATCTTCTTCCTTAACCTCAGCATTTTGATGCCAAGATCCATCTCTATCAATGAATAACTCATTGCTGCTGGTTAGTTTTGGCGAATTCAAAATTTCAGCAAAGTATCTAGAGATAATAATCAGTAAATTAATTTTAGGAATAAGTAATAAGTGCCAATTCATTCTTTTTTTTGTCGTTTGATTAGATCAGTTAACCCAACTTTAAATTTTGTTAAAATATCGTACAAATGCCTTGCAGATAAACACTGACTATTTTTAATTTAACTTTGGTTAATAAGATTTAATAAAACTTCAAGTCGTTCTGAAACCAATTAGGTCAAATTTGGTAAAAGTATGTATGTGATTCTAAAATAGATTTTTAGAACCCAAAAAGAATGAAATAAAATATGTCAACTTAATTTATCCAATTACTAATAGTAAGTATGTTTGAAAGATATCAATTCGAAATCATATTAATTTTTCAGCGAAAGTGAAAATTTCATTTTTGAACATTTGAACATCTACCTAAATAGCTAAATCTCAATTCTTATTCATTAAGCTGATTATTCATACATATTTTGAAGTTCATGTAACATACGGTAAGGTTATAATTATAATACAGTTTAAATTTTTGTATTGATAGCAAATCTTAAAATATAGCAAATCTAAAATTGTGCTATAAAAATCTAAAATTTATACCGTTTAAATCATTTTTAATTAAACTTTTACTCACCCATCAAGCGTCAAATCTTTGTAAAGCGCTGGCTGATCGCAAATGGGGCATTGCCACCTTGGCTTGCATTCATTCATTTTGAGAAAAACAGATGCATCAAAGCATTGCAGATGTCGACACCCAGATGGTCGACATGGTTCAGTTATTCTACATTTGCTCAATGGACAAGTGACAGTAACACGCCAAGAAGAACATGTAATTTCAGAATCTTCAGCTTCAGCAGCTAGCTTTTCTTTAATAAGTCCTCTAGTGTAATCAGCTGGTTTAAAACCACGCGCTCGAAGACGCTTTAATAAAACGTTTGCAGTGAGTTTGCGAACCAGCGCAATTCTACACACAAAAGATTTTCCAAAATCTGACATCCACTCCACGGTTAACCTGTTGCTTTGAGTAGGAGTTAATTTTATCTGATTTGTTATGTCAACAGGATAAGCATGCTGGACCTTTTTCTCTGGTTGACCAGGTCGCGGTGCGGTATTTATCTATAAAAAAATATAGATTAAAATCCTTTGCCAGCTTAAAAAAAACAAAATTATAATACAATCTCATAAAATATTTGCACCAAGTACAGTTTGAAACTGCCATTGCCATTTCTAATATAGCAACATTTTACTTTAAATTTTATATTTAATATCTTACAAAGCACTAAAAGAAATTGATAAAACAAATTTTATCAACTAATTGCTTCTAAAGAATTAAATATATACAAAAAAATAAATTACAATAAATTCATTCATACTATATTTAATTCATTGATATGTAAATACTTCAATTCAAAGCTAATGGTCATAATACTTACAGTTTGATTTATTCTATCATTAACTCTTATAGATAAGTAAGGTGGATAATAATCATTTTGTTCACATGTAGTTTCCATTAAGCAAAACCGAACATGTACCTGTTAAAAACAAATTTATTTAAAAATTATATTGTTTTTATTTATAAAATGTTATGTAATAAAATGTATAAATCTACATTTCAAATTATTGTATTATAATTAGAAAAAATAATGTAATACTGAATATCAAAGGACAGTCTTCATATGAGAAATTAAACTATATCAAGAAATTAGGAGAATATATTAAGCTTTTTATTATTCTTTGTAAATGCAGATCGCAATGTAATTTAAACCTAATAAATTCAAGAAAAAAACATTTTACCTGTATAGAATAAGTCATTTTGCTTCCAAAACCAGAACGACTTCTAGATATTTCTGTAATCTGTTGTGGAGTCAAATGAAATTCAAAATGAGACATTTGTATTCGCGATGATGTATGTGAAGTCAACAAACTAGTTGCTTTTAAAATTTCACCCATTTCTTCATAAAATGGTAGCTGGATAAATCGTACATCAGGATTCACTGGTACACTTGGCATTAACAATGGTTTTGAAAGCATATCCTTATTAAAGGTATTATTATCTTGCATGTAACTCCCTTGCACCAACGGAATGAACTTTCAAAAAAAAAAAAAAAAAAAAAACAGTATTATAATTTCTTGTATACTTATATCTTTCACATTGTGCTGAATAGTTTATAAATTCTACAAAACGGTAATGAAAAATTAGAAACTAATTCAATTCTAAATAACATTTGGGAACATTGTTTTAAAGTTATCGATCTCATTTTAAAGCAGGATATTAACTGAACTTGAAACTCGAAGAAAATTCATCAAAGAACAAAAAACTTAACATTGTATAGTACCAAAATAAATATTTATTTTTATGTATTTTTCTAACGCTGAAGTTAGAAATTAATCTAACACATAAAAAAGGAAAAACACCAAAAAAAATATATATCAAACCCTTTTTTTTAAATATTGCCTGGGTTTTGTTTGGATTTTTTTCTGCTCAATATGCACAGATTTATCCTAATTCTGTATTTTTAAACATACGTTTTGTTACCAGGAAATTATTGATATAGATATATAGTAAATATTTAGTAAAATTTTTACTAAATGGTTACCTTTTGAACAAATAATTTTGTATCAAATATATAAACCAAAATAGATAATTTTAAGAATCATATTGAGTTGCATTTAGTAATAAGACGCTTGGGTAATATTGAGTTCATAAATAATGAAAATATTGATGAATTATTGTGAACCAAGTAATATTAATTATTGTCACACAAACAAAATTATGTATAACAAATATAAAATTCAGTCATTTCTACATACCTCTGTGCCCCATTGGGTTAGAGCAGGTGAATATGGGTTCGGAACTTGATTTGGCTTAGTTCTGCAGGAAGAGTTGAATATAAAGACTTGAATTATGAATAATTTGGGAAATTATGAAATATTGTAATGCAACTTATTAAAAATTTATTAATAAACTTTAAAGAAATTAGGAAACAAAAAACACAAAAATCAACATTCTTTTCAAGTTTTTATCTAGCTTTTCGTAAAATTAACTATTTAACCATAATAACAAGAATAAGTATAATAATAAGAATATTCCAGAAGCACCCATATATGCATTTGTATTTTTACACAAAACGTAATTATAAGAAAGATAATTTCATAATTTCTTACTTGTATTGATTTCTGTGAATTTCATGTATTTTTACAATAATTGATGGTTGTGGATTTTGTATTAATGTCAATGCCCGTTTGAATAAATCAGATTTGTTTCCAGTTCTATTTCTCTGAGCATAACCCAATAAATTTTGCAATTCAGCAACCCGAAAACCTTTGATCATGATCTACAAATGTAATTAAATACAAATTAGTAAATTATAAAAGTTAAATGATAACAGATATTAAATTTTTTTTAGATAGTACAAAACAATAAAAAAAAACAGTAGAAAACAATATTAATGAAAAATTTGTAAGACTCAACTAAAGAAACTGTTTTAAGTAAGAGGCGACAAAATCGAATAATAGATTTGAGGAAACTTTGACATTTCAATCTTTTTTAAACTCACTTAAAAACGTTTTTAATTTAGAATAACAAACAATTTCAGCACTATTTTATACTCACTCGCAAAGTTTCAGGATCATCCATGTTTATCGTTTAACACCAGGCGTTCAGAATATTTTTTTAGGAAATCAGGTAGTTGCCTTTTTAGAGGAGTTTCACTTGCATCGGCTTGTCCATTTGCTGAAGTTTTGATTTGTTTGTGAATTAAAATATGAATTAAATTTGAGGTTATAGAAGTTTTGAAAGATAGAATCAGCTCTAGCGGATAATTCGAGAACTTAGATTAGAAAGTAACTGACAAAAATAAAAATACCACCCATTACCACCATAGATAAATAAACATAACACAGGCATACCACCATAGATAAATAAGCATATCACGGCATAGATTACTTTCACCATAGATAAGGAAAAGACTTGACTTTCACCTTATATTGTCGACATCTGTGCTGGAAACATATTATTATATCAACTATTCAAATATGAATTGAATTTATATCACAAGTGCTTTTCACAAAAAAGAAAAAAGCAGAAAATGAATGAATTCATAGATTCCACTTCATTGCAGGTAAGCATTTTTGTCTCTCAATTTCTAATATCCTTTAAAGTTACACATGCACAAATATATCGCAAACCGCTGACAATTATACTATTAGTATATTGTCTAGGCAATTATATTAGACCCCGGCCCTCCGGAGCCCCCATCGTGCGTAATAAGAATTAATAAACATATCCCAAAAGTTTTATTTTTATTTCACATATGACATAAAGCATTTTTTTTCTCTCTGAGTAAAAGGGTGCGATCCAGAGAAATTTTAGAAATATGTACGTACTAAAAAGTTATTATCAGCTATAAATGATTTAAAAGTTCAGCTTGCCAAAAAAAGATAAAAAGTTTATATTTGACTTTAGTTATTCGTAAACATTTTGGAGAAAGGGATAGGATAAATATCCTTTTACTTTATGCATTTTATCAGTATGCAAGTCGTCTATCCGTTCTAAGGGTCCCGAAACAAAGTTTTATACAGTATCTCCCTTCTGGTAAAGATATATATACATAGTTGAGCACTATATAATATAATACAACCTAATATATATTATAATAATGAATGAATTTATCATTCTAACATATATTGTCCAGGGTTAATCGCATTATTTCAAATCATCCTATTAAAAATACATATATGATTTATAGTTCATGAAGAGCTTATTAAATAAATAATATAGTATATTAAAACAAGAGTTTATTTCCATTTCAAAAAAAAATTATAAATATATATTTTATAAAGGCTTTACCAATAAGGCGCAAAGTTTAATACCATGTACTATAGTACGCAAAGTTTATAAACTTTAAAAATTTCAACATTTAGTGTTATCTAATAATTAGCAGCCACATTTTGACACAAGCAATTTTAACTATTTCCCACACTATATATTTATAGTGATGTTTCAGAACAATAGCATAAAAATTGGAAAAAACTTAAAGAAAATATTATGACTAGGAAAATAGATAAAATATGTTATAGAAAATAATTCTAAATTCGAGATATCAAAATATCAAATAATTATATGTTTCACATTTCATATAAACAAGCTTTAAAACAAGATAATAAAAGATAAATCTTTACATGAAAATCTCTAAAGTACTTTAAATATTTACATTACGGGTGCAGAAGGGTTAAACGCAAATGTAGGATAACATGGAGCAAATGTTTGTTGCTGCATTCTAGTATATTGTGTATCATTCTTATCTTGAATAGATGTAGCTCCAAACTGCCCTTCAGCAAATGTTGGTGCCGCTAAAAAGGAAAGAATATGATTCTTCACATTATGCAAACTAATTGGTTGAACAGTTTTTTTGCACAAGGCGTGTTTTGTACGTATGTTAAAACATTTAACATTTAGCACATAATTTACTAAATTATGTTAATAGAAAATAAACCATTAAAAACTCACGGATGTTAGGATAAAGCGCATGTAAATTATCCAAAGGAGCTCCCATAGGATCACCTGATGGCAAAGCCCAACCTCCTGCATTTGGATTGGAAGTGTCTGGTTCAGCTGGTGCAACATTTGATTGTGGCACTGGTACATCAGTATAGGGTGCATTAGGCTGGAAACTAGCAAGGGGTATGGTACCCAATATAATAGGAATTTTACTTTTAAGACCTCTGTGGATACCAGGTACCACGGTCTCAATCTGAAAAAAAAGATTATGTATTAGGAATAGATCATCAATAATAGAACTGAAGACAATTAATAATTGAAGTATATTATAAAGCAAGGGCGAGCAACCTTTTTAACTCGCGGGCCAATTTAAATTTTCAAATTTTATGGCGGGCCGCACGTAATTTATATATATATACTAGCTGACCCGGCAAACGTTTAGCTACAGAAAATATTTTTAGAAAATCATTAGTATACGAAATGACTAACTAATTCTGAATGTATAAATAACATTACATTGATAATTTACCCACTGCAAAGCTAAAATACTAAAATTCATATTATAATTATGTTATACTCCGAAAATGATTCTAGTTTTCTTTCAAAAACAGTTTTATCTCCTGATTTTGAAATTAAATTAATCATTTTTTTTGCTGAAATAGCTCCCTTTGCGACACATTCAAAAATGTGTCACATGCACTTCTGATGCACATCGAGAAATATTTGTATGATAGGATAAGCCTGCAAATTAGTTAGTTTTATCGGAGGTAACCATTTCGTTGCCATTTTTGATATGTTGCAGCGAATAGAGCGGATAAATTTAAGCATCTTTATAAGCTCAGAAAAATCTTGATCGCATTTCAATTAAAAACGTTCATAAGAAATAGTAGTTAATTGATCGATTACCGAGCTATATAAAAAATGATTGGACTACTATAATGACTATTTTAAAATAATGAAAATTTAGAGTTGTGTGTAGTTTTCCATTTCGCACAAAAAGTAAAATTAAGAAAAAAATTTAAAAAAATTATCACGACCGTACAAGCAATGATAAAAATAAATTGCTTTTTTAATAAAAATGAAGCCTTTTCATAAACTCTGATAAAAGTCTGATGTAAAATTAAGTCAAAAGATTCACTGATTGAGCGCGGGAATAATGTAATTGCAACAAAATTACAAAATTACCACAAGAAAAGCACAAAATATAAAATTGAACAAAGCATATATTTTATATAATTACGAGTGTATATTATAAGTGTTTATAAATATTAATACAAAATGAAAACAAATAATACTTAAAAGAGAAACAATTTTACTTAAAAACTTTAATACAAAATTTACCACTGCTTTTTTATATTTGATTTTGTGCTTTATTTTAATTTTTTTAATGCGGAAAGTAGCAACGCGTATGCAGGTTTTTTAATCAGTTTTGATAAATGGTAATTTTTTATGATAGTTGAAATTAACACAGGTCCACACAAAAGAGTTGTCTGGATTGGGTGTGTGATATATGTTTTCCAATGTTTCTTTACCGCTGAAGATAAATCTATAGTCAAAATTGGGGCACAAAATTGAAAAACATTTAAAAACTAGCACAATCTTCAATCTAGATCTTTTCTGAATGAATTAATTATTATCCAGCGACTTTTCTTTGTGGACCTGTGTAATACGTGCAGATACGTACTTCCAAAAAAATAATTTATCATAATTTGATTTGCATATTTTTAAAAGCGCAAATTTCTCAATGGTGACATTAGATTTATAAAAAAATTCGATATTTACTGAAAAAATGCATTTTTATTGCATGTATTATTTTGCATGTTAAATGGCGAAGAAAACATTTACATGAAAACAGCTGTCTTGTTAGCTTTGAACATTTGGAATCACAATTAAAATTTGTTCACATTTTCCTTTTTTGAATATGAAAAGTGAAACACAAGATTCTGCAAAAGATATTATTCTTTATTAGCAAAATGCCTAAAGGACTATAATTATTATTTCATATCCAAAAACAATTGTAATTCGCCATTTGAGTCGTATACTCCTTTAAGCATAATATTATTGAGCTAACGTATTTTAGTATTTGAAATCGACATATTCATGATCTAAATTGCCAGGAAGTTTTTAAATTTACGATGATTTAACCCTCGCGATTTTATAAGATTCACTTTTTTAATTATTTTGAATTTAGAAATGCGTTGTTGCTATGTTCTCGGACAAGTTCTCAACTTTTCTTGCAATATTGAAGCTTGTTAATATTTATATAAATCAATAAATTAATTAATATTTTATTTTATCAATAATATTTATTTTATCAATAATATTTATTTATCAGAAAATGCTCTTGTTTCTTCGAACAACAGTTTTTTACCAGAATTTGACTGACGACAAAATAGCCTTTACAGCCGTATTGATAAAAATATCTATTGTTGAATTGAAAAAATAATCTGTTGTTGAGAATGCTTGGCGGGCCGCAGTAAAACATCGGCGGGCCGCATGCGGCCCGCGGGCCGCGGGTTGCTCATCCTTGTTATAAAGCTTAGTTGCTTTTATATATGCTTATAATTGTGAAATATTTGCCAATAAATCATATCAGAGGTGTGAAATGGTACAATATTATAATGAGAAATTCTTCATTAATATAATATTTGAATTTGTCTTAAAAATATTTTATTTAAATAATCAAAGTCGTACCTAGAGTAAGTATAAATAAATTATTAGATTTATATTCTGATAAGGTTTAAGGATAAAAGCTTATAAGAAAAAGATATTTAGAGTGAAGTTTTTTAAAAGTACCTTTAAATCATAATCTAAATCAATAATCCCACAGTTTACTAAATTGCTGGGTGGTAATGGTGGAATTGTCATTTTCTGATTCCAGTTTGCAGATTTACCAGGTTCAATTGGTCCCACTTGCAATTCAGCAATTACTATACTGTCTTCTTTAGTAGCTCTTCTTGGCATTTGCGTGTGAAATTTTACATTCTGCAAATAGAATATTGTTATCACATTTAAATACACAAAAAAATATAAGAAAACATCGTTATGTGAGATCATTCCAATTAAAATTGATATCTTACCTTGCGTAATGTGAATTTTAAAGATGTTACAGCAACATTGCTATTATTGTCACATTCTGCACTGATTGGTATTTCTTGACCAGAAACATAACCAGTTACAGGTATACCAACAATTACACTAAGCGGACCTGATTTACCAGCAGCAACAGAATGTTTTCTCAAGTTCCAACTTCACTGGTTCCTAAAACAATTTTAAAAGAAATAGCTGT